TATTGTCACACAAGCGTTCTACAATGCATTTACTAGAATCAAAGATGACACGGTTACCTCTATCGCACAATTGGCTAATGCTAAGAAGATTGTGCTTGAGGCCCTCAACAAGAAGAACGTTCTCAACGGTTGTAGCATTGTCCTTTCCGACGGTGCCACTTCCAATGATTCTTCCTTTGTTGTTGTCACCAAAAACGACATTGCCACCTTTGAAATACTCTAAACTCCTAAATTTGGATGCGTCTCCGGTCATGTGCTTGGAGCATCCGCTATCGAGATACCAAGAGGTACTCGAAGCCTTCAAGCACACCTACAAAAAGATATCAAGGAGACGGTTTAGGTACCCATATATTGTTGGGTCCTTTTTGGTTAGCATATGTGCGATGTGTGTGCGTTTGTTGAAAATGCCTAATTTTGGTGAAGCACACGGGTGCAATGTGACCTATCTTACTGCAATAGTGGCAAATAACATTTGGATTATTCATCCTATATGGTTGAGTGTAATGAGTTCTAGGTTTGCTAGGATGTGCTTTTCTAGTTTTATTATTAATCCTAGCATTTTTATTCCCCCTAGCTTTAACAAATGTTGTTTTTCTAGGTTGGTTTTTCTTATATCCAAGTCCTTCACCATTACTAATTTTTTGCTTAAGTATTTTATCTAAGGTGTTTGAGGCATTATTGAACTTTCCCAATTTGCTCTCTAAACTAGCAACCTTAGCTTTTAGTGATGTACAATTAGAGCATGTAGAAAAAGAAGTAGTTGAGGGTTCTTGTGGCCTTTTTCCAAAAGAGATAATTTCTTGTTTAAGTTTATCATTTATATTTTTGAGTTCTTTGATTTCATTCTCAAAAATTAGGATTTTTTGCTTTACTTCATTGTTTTCTTTGGAGGCCTTTTTGAACATTCTTACCAAATCTTCTACAATGCAAACAACATCATTAAGAGTTAAAGGATCATTGGAAGAAGGTTCTTGATCACTTACCTCTTTTGATGCATCACCATCTTCAATGGCCATGAGACATAAGTTGGCCACTTCTTCCGTTTCCGAGTCTTCACTCCCGGAGCTGTCGTTCTCCTAAGAAATGTAAGCACGCTGCTTCTTCGGTGCCTTCTTGTCCTTCTCGTTCTTGAGCTTTGGGCACATTGGTTTGATGTGTCCAATTTCACCACACCCATAGCATTTGGGTGGAGTGTTTTTTTGGCTCCCTTCTTGAGCATCATCTTCTTGAATTTCCGGAAAAAGAGTCCGAGGTCGGTGTCGTCGCTGTCATCATCTTCATCATCAACGTTGTTTTGGGTTGATGTTGTTGCGGGTAGAGCAATAGACCTCTTGTTCCTCTCTTCAACCACCTTTGAGAGTTGGGTGGTTTCGTAGGTAATAAGATTACCTCGAAGAGCATCACAGGTCGTTGTTTGGAAGTCACGACCTTCTTCGATTGCGTCCGCCTTTGAACGCCATTTGGGGGATAGGCTTCGCAGCACCTTTCTCACGAGCTCTCGATCGGTGTATGTCTTCCCGAGAAGATTGAGAGGATTGATGATGTTAGAGAATCTCTCAAACATTTCCTCAATCTTCTCATTTTCCTTCATTGAAAAGAGTTCATACTCGTGAGTGAGATGGTCAATTTTGGCCTCCCGAACCTGCGCGGTTCCTTCGTAGGTGACCTCCAATTTCNCAGAAGATATTGTCATCCT